ATTTTAAGACCTGGCCAGGAACGACTACGAAAAATGCAGCAGAAAGTCCTCTGGTAGGAATTAAACCTATGGCCCTGCGATTTCCGTGCAGCTCTCTAACCAACTGAGCTACAAAGGCCAGCTGTTGAGCTGTGACCGTAAATTCATGTATATATAGGTAATCGGGTGTGCGGGTTGTGATAAGGTGGACTTCAGTGATAAGGTGGACTTCAATGATATGTAAATTCACAAATTTCCCTTTGTTTCACCCTTCAGTAAACCGCCATTTTGAAAGTATTATCATTACGTCATTTCATCTATACGCTGTCACTGATTGGCTGTAAGCACGCTTACAAACATCCGGTACGCGCACGATAGCAATATATCTGCATTCGCAGATACAAAAAGGGAATTCGAGCTCATGCACAATTTCTAATACAATAACTTGACAACATTTTGTTACTCAAAATATATCTGTAACATACAGTAGCACTGCTTGCATAAATAAGAGCTATGTGGGTTTATGGGAGTTGAAAGGACTTATCAGGGTTATAGTTTTGGGGGTCTAATACGCGTTGCCCACACAACGCAAAATTCCCATTGGTCGAAATCGATACGCCTGTCAATGAAATATGATACGTAGTAATTATGCTATAAATAGTTTCCCGACTGAATGTTGATTTTATAAATAAACATGACATTAACGATTCCTATTGGATAGATTTAATTGGATATAAGTAATGTTTATGCAAAGGCGCAGCCATATGGGCGTATTTCGTTTCGTGATGTGTTGTCGGCGGTCCCTCCTTTCTCCCGAGGGACTGCTCGCGGTCTATCTACAACATTGTACTGTGTACATGTATTTATAAATAGTTTGAGTATTTTATATATGTATTTTATATAATGTAACACACGCCCCTCGTGGAAACCAGCTAATAGTTAACGGGGCTAGCTAGCGTGTGATATTTAAATAAAGGTTAACTTTTTACTTATAGTGCAAAGTTGATAAAACAAATGCTAAGTAAGCAATAGCCATTGCAACAAGATTGCATGGGTGTATCTTGTGATGATTTATATTTCCCATGCACACGTGGTATACTACAGTATATGTTATCAACGTTTTGATTGGCTATCATTGAACTATAAGTAAACTGGAATGCTAACTCAAAGGGAAGCCGTGCTTTGTAGGTAGTGCCAGTCCCTTTTTGCAAATTTGTTTTGAAAAATACTCTTTTTATCATAGACGGATTTTCATATTTTTTACTGGGGTGGTGCCAGAAATTTTAGGGGGGTGAGCCGCGAGCAGATGACTGAAGCAACACAAAGTGTCACCAAACCCCAGTAAGGTCTATATTCTAGGGGTGGAGCACTAGAGTCGCGAGTGGGAGTCTAGAGAGCAGAAAACAAAGTATCCCTGGAAAAATTTGAAAAATCATGATTTCTAGCTTCGAAAAAATGTTTTTTGAAGTTGTCATATCAATGGATTTGGCCTGTCCGATTGTCTGTTGAGACTTGAGAGAGTTAAATTAAATGAACCTGTAAAAGTGTAAACCCAATAGGCCAATACACAATATGCTTTTACTTTTATAAAATCATTGACATTGTGTCGTTTGAATCCGAGTACAATTTATGATACAACTCCGATGTAAATAATATTTGGGACGTAAAGATTAAATCTAGGCAAGACTATTTCCTAAAAGAATTAAAAACTAAAAATAGTGTTCGTAAAATTTCCAAGCGTTCCTTGCAAGCAAGCTATTTGCATGACAAGGCACTGCAAACTCTATTCAGGGGAGATAATAGAGTTTCAAAACTTTACAATTGGTCTTTTTCTATTTGAGTGTACTCCTACGTTTATTTTGTATCATCAACACTCTGCACGTTGGAGTGGACTATTTAACTATTTTTTATTATGCCGAATATTGGGGGGGGGGGGGGGAAATTTTTGGAGGGTGAACATTTTGTTTGGGGGTTATAGCTAATACTGGGGACAGCACCCACCGAAAATGCGATGACAAAAATAACATCACTTGAAAAAGTCAATTTATTCATGTTTTAGAAGGAATAAAACAAGGACTATAAAAGCTCAGGATAAATAACAATACCTGGGGTTTACTACAAACTAAGTTTTGGGACTGTCAAAATGTGTTATAGTATATTTTTTTCGAGTTGAAAAGCGAGGTTTCCTTCGGCACGTCCAAACTTTCGTCATTTTTTTCAAAATACAAAAGCAAAACTCCTCACTTTTTGCTGCAGAGAGATGTAAAACAGTCCGAACTAATTGGAAAACCAGGTTCAAATCCCAATCATTGTAGTATTCCCTTGGAAAAAGTTTTTTTTCTTCAAATTTTTGCTCAAAAACAAACTTTTGACCTTAGTCCTTTTGAAAGTCCTTAGTCCTTTTACCTCGAAACTATCCTCAGTCCTTCTGAAAGCTGGTTTCCCGCGCGCCGGCGTCAACGAATCATATAGGCCTTCATCATAGGAGTTAGCCTTCCAGTTTACTTATAGTTCAATGTTGGCTATAGGGTTTCCCGCGCTCATACAGTATAATTGTAAATATGGCCACCCGGTTTAAGCAAAGTCGCTGAAGTGAGTTTTTTTTGCATTTCCCTATATTTATATCGTAAAAAGAACATTCAACGCTAAAACCGAGTTCATAGAATAAGCCTCTTTGATTGGAATTCCAGCACGAAAATTGAGAAACCGCCAAAAATATATTTTTGAGGTACTTTGTTTCCGCGTTGTTCGCTGTGAGTCAGTCAAATATCACCTTTGTACTTATATATTAAACAAATTACTTCATTACTTCATGATTTTTATTGTCTACTCTCTGCGAAGGATCGCTACACATGCACCACTCGTTCGCTCAGCTCACTCGTTCGTTTAGCAATCCGTAAATATAAGAATAGTACTTAATACTAGACTCAAGCACTCACCAACCATGAAGTAATTATTTTGTCTTAACCCTTGCACTAACCTTAATAATAATAATCCTAACCCTAACCCTAACCCAAACTCTATGGTCCTTGTAACGTAATTTCTGGACAATTGTATGGAATTACCCCATCTGGGGAGAAATCCACGTGATCATGTATGAAAACATTCACTGCTGAAAAATTAATAAAATTCAAAGTCTCAGGAACAGTGTCCCTTTTCTGAAAAGACAACGAGACCAAAGCTGCGTGACAAAAACCATGTACTCATGCAACAGAAGCTAGCGAGATATTTTCCTGACACGGTTGGCCATTCTCATGCTTATAATTAATATTATTTTTTATTAATTTTGTTAGTCTAAATTGTCACGTTATTTTTTGACGTGCAGTAACCCCTTTGTGGCTTTTCTATAACAAAAACAGAACGATGTTTATGATCACGTTGCAGGCGAGGCGAGGAGATCAGACTGTCTACCTGCGGTGGAACACCCAAAAAGCGGGCATGGCGAAGATTACAGAGAGTCTACCTGCATGCCGTCGTCTGCAATACAGGCTGAAGTCGAGCCGAGTAATTGACTTAAACAACTTGAACGCCTCAAGTCGAAAATTTCGTTTGTTTTTCAGCTCTGTATGAAAAATATAAATAATTACTCGCTGGGGCACCCTGTGCCCCAGACGAGTATAGGTTTCGGCTCACATTTGTGGTGGATCTCCAATCGTCGATAGCCACAAAATAGAATATTAATGAGCTGCCTAATTTCCCCCCAATTATCCATAAGGCTCCCGTCAATTTTACCCAAATTATTCATAAATAGCCCTCCATTTTGAGGAAAATTCGGGAAAATTGAACAATTTTACAAGGAATTTCGCATGGAAACAGCAACCTTCGCAAATCGCAAGTTTACAAAAGTTTATACGTTTGACTGCGCTGTTTTATATTTTGAGAAGAAAGCAACACCGTTCGATTCAGCATAAGAAATTGTACTTACGAATGTCAAGTGTATTACTAAATACCCGTATTCTAGCGATTTATGGCCTTTGAAAATGAAGCGAAATTGTATTGTTGAAATATCGCTCGCAGTACGTTTGTCCACAGGTTTGTCCTTGTATTTGTAATGCCTAATGGCGCAATAGGGATAAAAATACCACCGTTCGATTCAGCGTAAGAAATTGTACTTACGGATGTCAAATGTGTTACTAAGCACCAGTATTGTAGCGATTTATGGCCTTTGAAAATGAAGCGAAATTGTATTGTTGAAAAATCGCTCGCAGTGCGTTTCATAGTGTTTTGTAATGCCTAATGGCCCAATCAATAAGGATAAAAATACCACCGTTCGATACAGCGTTAGAAATTGTACTAATTACGAATGTCAAGTGTATTACTAAACAACAGTGTTCTAGCGATTTATGGCCTTTGTCTTTGAAAGCCAAGCGAAATTGTAATGTTGCCAATCGCTCAATATTATTAAACTAATTATAAAAAAATGCAGTACGTTTGACCCTTGATAACTTTGGCATCATTGGTTTTCTCTTTTTCGGCCTTATACCAGTGGTTCGTCTCACTCCTCGCTTCATTTTGATAGTATTTTGAGCCCAAAAATATTTTATTTTGAACGTTTTAAAGCGCGGTTTAATCCTAGACCAACTAGCGGCTGACAGTTTTGAAGAATGTAGCGTACTAAATATAACTTTACTTGTAGGGCCTTCCGCATTTTAGTACTGTGTTATTAATTAGCCTTTCACGCTCGTATTCGACTTTTCCGCTTAGCTCGGGGAAAACCTTAAATTTGTTTCTGGCAACCTAAGGAATATATATTTTTTAGATACAATCAATCATCAATTAAATGAAGAGTTATAATTATAAAGGAACAGTTATAAGCAAGTTACGTCGAAACGAAACTCGTGAGAGCAGAGAAAAAAGAAAAACCGTCAAGGAGTGAAAAAGCTATATTGTCAATTTACATACGTCAAATTACTTGTTTAGTTTTTTCGTCAAGTCTTCTTTGACATTTTACCGTTGTTTATATATACATATTATAATTAGGCTACAATATGTTCAGTCACTCCGTTCTCATCCTATACTACCCAAACACTGTAGCAACAAAATACAACAATATTATATATATCCTGCTCATCATTTAAAATTAGAGCAACATGCTATAGTTTTTAGTTTCTTCGCATTGCATGGCTATAGAAAACTGTTTTTCCTGTTATCTTACATGATTCCAAACTGTCCAAACTGGCAAAGCCTGCTTCTCCATCAGCTGTTCAAAATATTATATAACCATCGATCTTTTTTTTCTCCAGAACAGTTTAAAACTCGAAAACAACTTTTTATCTAAAGCTCCATAGATAAATGGGTTGATGGCTGACACTCCCAAGAAGTATACGACAGTAAACCAATCATAATAGGTACCATTCAGATCCACCACACCAAAAACGTAAAGGATATACGCAATCTGCTGAGGAGATCCAGCCACAAAAAAACAAAGAAAGATGACAAAACTTATCACAAAGGTTCGAGCGTTTCTATGATGAGCCAGTCTTTGAAACAACCAACGTTCTGTTTCCTCCTCGACAGATGCAGCCATGGATTTTATCTTTTGACTCTGTTTGATAAGTTCCCTGCAAATTTTCCAATATATCATTCCAAGAACCACGACTGGGATAAAGAACTGAACTGATGAACTAGAGACTGTGTGAGAAATGTCCCACGTTTCGGATGGCCATGCTTCGAAGCATTTATCAGGCGGTATGAAATCCAAAACAAACACGGCTGGAATTTCACATAGAACACCCAACGCGTATACAGTGGCAGAAGCTAAGTGTAATTTCCATCGAGTTACTCCAGGTCGGAATGGGTAAAAAACAGCGCGATAGCGAAGTAGTGACATGAAGACCATAAAAAGTACTCCAGCTAAGAAAAAAGCCCCAATAGGAAAAGACAACTTACAAAGCACAGCTGAAGTTATCCAATGTCTCCCGGTTAAATTTATGTAGCTATGTCCGATAATACCGAGTAGGTTCAATAGATCACAGATTGCAAGATGTAATACGAGGTAGTGATGGTTGTTTTCCAGCAAGACCTTTTGACGAAATATAGAGAAGATTACCAAGGCATTTCCAAGAGAACCCAATACGCTAACGAAAATTAAAGCATATCCAATGTGGGGATACTTAGAATACGATACTGCTTCTGTTCCGCTGCTCAACGTTGTATTCATCATGGATAAATTTGAAAAGCTATGATGCTTGGATGTTGATAGTATAGGCCCCAGAGACGAAAATGAGAAAACTTATTTGGTTGCAGCTTGCATACATATATATAAACACAAAAATAGAACATAATTACTAGGAGTTCAAAACATACAGCCCGTTTAGCATATTAAGCATGCATTAGTAGTAAATCCCCCCACTATGGAGTTCAAAGGGATGCCGCCAATACCGCTAATGAAGTCACTTTGCACAGCTAGCACTCTGGCAACGGAAGTAATTAGTATGCAAAATCCGTAACGTCACTATGCTGGCCCTAACCCTAACCTTGGGCCAACTGTGACAGGTTGCGCGACCAATTAACCCGGGCAAGCCTGGTCCAACTGTGACAGGTAGCGCAACCAAATACACATGTATTTTGATTGATTTTTCGGGTGATTAAAACATGCTCTTGCGATAGCTCAGTTGGTAGAGCGGAGGACTGTAGTTCCTTAGGTCGTTGGTTCAAGCCCAGCTCGCAAGATTTAAAAACAGGCGATCTTTTTGGCGGGAAAATGTATATGTAGCTCGGAGCCTAGTTCAAAATAACCGGAAACTTTGAAAGCTTACAACGAAGCATATAGTCTGAATAGCTCGGAGCTTGGCTCGGAGCCGGTCCGTTCCAAGCATAGTCTTTAGTTGACAACGCTTGGTTCATGTCTACACGGTAAAGTTACTACCTCTTCGACTACGGAAAATGGTACATTTTGATTCTGTGGGTAAAAACTTTTAGAACAGTTGTAATATATTTTGCCATAAAAAAATTAATCAAATGTGCGGTTGCTATATACGTTGTTATGTGTTGTCGGTCATTAGTGACGCTTGGGTGCATGCATATATTAATGTACAACATAGTTGTACTCAGGCGGGCGGGTTGCGCGGATAGGAAAGATCGGGCTTAGTATCCTAGGATATCAATATCTTAGGATATCAATATCTTAGGATATCATACAGTATCCTAGGATATCATACAATATCTTAGGATATCAATATCTTAGGCCCGGTTTAGACGCCGTGCTTTTCATGAGCCGAACTTAATACAATGAATTAAGCACATGAGAAGCACGGCGTCTAAATCAATTAAGCACTGCACTTAATATTAAGCACGGCTAAATTAAAAAGTTCGCCTGGTTCAGGCGTGCTACACGGCTGAAGCACATGTTGATTTATACTGCCGTGCTTTACATGAGCCGTACCAAATGCATAAATTATGATAATATAGAAGATTTATAGTACGCGAGCGTTGATTGGTCGAGAAGCGTGTTTCTACACGGGAAATTTCCCGCCTAAACTTACAATCGTAAGCAAAACAATTTTAATGGGCCTTATCGGCAAATTTCGCGGTAGAATTTCCCTTTCTTTTCTTTATATACGTCAATTTGTAGCAAAGGATACATACACCTTTCGTTATATTCTTTGCATGAAAGTTGCGAAATTAAGGCTTATCTTGCAGTGTAATTAATGGAGCAAAGGTCGGCATCATTACGTAATGCGAATTTGTAAATATATCGAGTCTACTACAAATCTTTTTTTAGTTATATTATGAAATAAACTGATATAAAACATTTATTATGTGTAACCCATACAGTTATAGAAACACTTGTAGTAGTTTGAGAGAACTCGAATAACGTGGAAAAACGCGAAAAAGCCAGTGGCGTAGCCAGCTCGATAATTGGGGGGGGGGGGGGGGG